ACTTAGGAGACATCTTTTTACATTTTGCCAGTGACTCAAAGTGAAGCGAACGATATGAGATCCATTCTAGAGCTGGGCCTAACTCCAATCATGGGTTGATCCCCACTGAAATGTTGACCTTTGTTCATGGGGGGGGATTTTGGCAGCTCAAGTGGTCTGAATCCCCACATTTCACCCAGGGAAAAGCACCCCCATATTAATAAAAAATACACTGGGGGTTGAGTAAATATATGTTAGGGTAGGCTGATTTTGGAAGAAAGTCAGCACAAAAACATCAAGCATTCTGTGCACCGTGGATGTGGGCCAAGATATCGTCTAAGTACCTTCTCAGAAAGTACTTCAACCTTTTGGATGACCTGGACCCTCAAACTACCCTGAAAAAACAGGAAGCACCACGTGATTGTGATCAACAACCCATGTTTATGGGCAATTTGAAGGTCCAGGGATATGTTTTCAGAAAATAGAGTCCTTCTTGTGGATTTCGTTGTGATTGTCTTAGGGCACGCCCCAAATAATGGGCTCCCTTTGGCGTTGCTTCAAACCACGAAAACATACAAAACACGGGGTACCCTGAAACAAATAAAGACAGAGAGAGAGAGGGAGAGAGAGACACTAGTTATGTTGACCCCGTACTAATAAACTGCTGTTTGCCAATATGGGTGTTCCCCTGCAAAAGTGATGAATCCCCACTATTTCCAGGGGCACTCCCATATTTTTTGGTAAACAGGGGTTTATTTTTCCGGGGTCAACATTGGGGTGGTGCTCCCCTACTCATCTCATGAGAAGTTCAGCTACTCCAAACACTGAAGGCAAGAACTTTCGACCTCTGGATCAGAGCAAGAATGGGATGCTTTTCTTGTATCCCCTACAGAGGTTCTGTGGATGGACGAAATCCTGCACCATCTAAGAAACCCTGAAATGAAGATTCCCCTGTAAAATCCAACAAGCAATGGCTTCCCATGGTTTCTTAGGTGGTGCGAAATGGATTTCGCAACCATCCACAGTATGGACGTCTGCCCTAAGTTACCTCATGGACACCCAGCAAACATGTCCTTCTTTTCTTTCGTCTCCGCCGAAAAAGGATACACCCTACGAGGGTACCACGGGGCTTTTCTGGGGTTGTTTCAATGTTAACCCCGGACTAATACACCCCTGCTTGATTTTCATTGGGGGGTGTCCAATTCCTAGTGGGCACTGAGGCCACTTTTGGAGGGAGCTCCCCCCCAATAATGGGACGGGTTCTACTTAGATCCTGGGTCCCCATTATGCACAGTGAGTGACTCCAGGAAATTCACTACGGAAAAAGCGCCCCAGGAAAAACGCTCCAGGAAAAGCGCTCCGGGAAAAACGCTCCGGGTGCGGAAAGATCCGACGGGTCAACATGGCACACCAGAAGCCGACGGCTTTTTTCGGATCCCAGGATCAGCGTCTTGGAGCAAGGGATGGAGCTCCACGGCGCGCTCAACGCCTGGTCACGCTCCAAGGCGGAGAAATTTGGACTTGTCCTTTGGTTTGTGGATGTGTGTGTGTGTGGTTAGTTTGTTTGTTAGTTTGTTTGTTCGTTTGTTTGTTTGTTTGTTTGTTTGACCGTCTGTTTGTTTGTTTGACCGTCTGTTTGTTTGACCGTCTGTTTGTTTGTTTGTTTGTTTGTTTGTTTGTTTGTTTGTTTGTTTGTTTGTTTGTTTGTTTGTTTGCCTGCTTGTTTGTCTGTTTGTCTGTCTGTTTGTCTGTCTGTCTGTCTGTGTGTCTGTTTGTCTGTCTGTCTTTTGTTTCTCTGTGTGTTCGTTTGTCTGTCAGTCTTTTTGTTCGTCTGTTTGCTTGTTTGCTTTTGTATTTTTGTGTGTTTGCTTGCTTGCTTGCTTGCTTGCTTGCTTGCCTGCCTGCCTGCCTGCCTGCCTGCCTGCCTGCCTGCCTGCCTGCCTGCCTGCCTCTGTTTGTCTGTCTGTCTGTCTGTCTGTCTGTCTGTCTGTCTGTCTGTCTGTCTGTGTGAGTCTGTATGTTTGTCGTTTGTTGGTTGGGTTTTTTTGTTTGTCCGTCTGCCTGCCTGCCTGCCTGCCTGCCTGTCTGTTTGTCTGTCTGTCTGTCTGTCTGTCTGTCTATCTTTTGTTTGCTTGTCTGTGTGTGTGGGCCTGGCTCTGTGTGTGTGTGAGTCAGTGTGTATGTCTTTGTGTGTGTGGGTTTGTGTGCGTGACTCTCTCTCTCTCTCTGTGTACGTGAGTTTCCTTGTGTTGTTGCTAGTTGTTTGTTTTTTCCCCATACATAATTGTATAAGCATGTGTTTTTTGTTGTTGTGTTGATGGTTGTTTTGAGGCCAACCTTTGGCAGCTGCTTCGGCGGAGGATAGATGAGAAAACTCCATTGACCATTTTGGAACCTTTTGGAATTAGCCTCTGACCCATTTGTCTTTGCCCTTTTGACCGACCGAACCGTGGATCCCCTCTAAAATGGTTGATTTCCCCTAAAATGGTTGACTTTTGTTTCCAAGTTAGGTTTGGCTTTGTGGCTTTTAGAGGGCCTAAGGACTCTAAACTTTTTAGGAAGACCATTTTAGTGCCAAATAAAGAGTGTCTCACTTCCTGAGTTCATGAACTTTAAACTTTTTGGGAAGACCATTTTAGTGGTAAACAAAAAAAATGGACTTTTTTTTTGGGCCATCCACTCAGCAATTGTGGTGTGGACTTTGTTGGCATATCAACTCAGGAAGTGAGGGGAACATTGATCAAGCCCCAGGGGCTTGGATCGGGTTTGGACCATTTCAACGGAGTTGTAGCCCTTAGCCCGTCGATAGTCGATCCCAGATCCAACACCCATAGACATTTGGCTTGGTATCCTTTGGGTAAACTATGTGTAATTCTCAGGCTGACCAAATATTGAACAGAATCTAAAGATCTTAATCCCCGAGAGCTATGGTTAGACAGGCTGGGAGGGTGATCAGCAGTGTTTCCTCGAAAAATTAGCTCACTGTTTAGCTTAGAGGGAGGTTGACTCACCTTTGATGAATCTGGAGGAGTTGACGAAAGAAATCTAAGGTTCCTCAAAGCAGGGGCCCATTTGTACATTGTGTAGCCGAATCCAGAGGTAAAAACAGCAAAAGAAGCCAAAGGCCACCGATCGCCAGTCTTAGATCCTTTAAAGCAGCCTGACTGAGCCTCCAAACGCGTCCAAATCTAGCGGTCAATATTTACCATGGTGTGCTGAAGTTTTTACAAGAACTTCCGTAGTACTGAAACTGATTGAGCTAGCAGACAGGGACGGAGAAAGTGAATGAGAGAAAGCAAAAGAGAAAGAGAACAAGAGACAGAAGAAGAAAAAAGAGAAAGAAAGAGGACGAGAAGAGGAAGAAGAAGGGGCAGAGACAAAGACAGAGAGAGAGAGAGAGAGAGAGAGAGCCATAAGGAGAAGGAAAGGCCTCAGAACAAAAGACGACCATCGATCGATTCGGTGCAGGCTACGAACCATATGGGATCCGCGAGCGCTGGGGATCTCAGGGCGCGCTGGGAAGGTTCGAATGGGCAAGGGTCACCTATTTGTTTCACCCTTGACTCTGGGTTTTCGTATTGGTTCTTCTAGCTTCTGTCAAAATACAATTTTTTTTTGTTTTCCGCTGGGAAATAAGTCTGCAACAATAGGTGTTTGAATGACTAGCATATGAGTCAGTTGGCAGCGTCCATCCTAGGCACCCTGACGCTTTTAAAGGAACACACAGACACAAGTCACAAGTATGTGTGTGTGTGTGTGTGTGTTTGTTTTTCGAGGGTCCTCGATTGTCGGCATATTCGCTCGCAGTGTGTCGCTTTGGGCCACTTTTTCCAAGGAGCTGACTTGACATGCGGCCTCCAGCCGGGCCAACAGTTTCTGAGCCCCTACGCTTGAGGCCCCCCGCGGGGTGACAGTTGAATTGGCCCTTGAAATGGACCTTTGTTGACGACGGTCAACCCAACGAGACAATTCTACATGTCGCTTTCCAATGATGAGCCATATGCGAGTCTAGCAAGTTCAAGGGCCCATTGACAAGCGGGGTCCCTACATTTCCATTTTCTTTGTTGTTCAATCAGCTCCGTTTGGTTTCCAACTTATGGAGAGTTTCCTGGTGGGGTGATGTTTGGTTGGACATCTCGTTGACAAGAGCTGCTCTCATGTGCAAAGTGGTGCCTCAAGTTCGCCGATTGCTTTGACCTGATCGTCCAGGAGATGGGCTTTGACAAAGAATCGCTAAGGGTGCGTGTTATTCTTGAGGGTACCCTTTCAAGGATTGGTTTAAAGGGAAACAAACAACAAAGCACTCATTCTGGGGGCCCAAATCCCCTTTTTCAGACGGATGCCCAAACAACTATTGGCAGGGGATCTGAGGACAGCTTAGACAGGTTGCCACTGACGGAGAAACCTCTCAAGTCGCATTCAATACAGGGATGACCCTCTTCGGTATTGGGTAAGGCGCATGTGAAGACATGCAGCCATCACTTTCTTGAGCCTTTGGCCGAATGCTCCCAACACAAATTCCCTCGATTGAACTCCTGCAGAACGTCTCCGCCCAGTTGACGCCAAAAAAGGCGTCCGACGGCTCGTCTAGTGCTTGAGAGTTTGGCGGCCAGCGCAGAGCAATCAGTTTGAGCCGAACAACAAATGACAGAACACATCTTTTTGAGAAACCCGAACACAAGAAAGGGTGTGTCAGAAACCCTGCCCTTCTTTGGAAGGTGTTTACAACAACAAAAAAGAAAACATCCATTTAGGTATGGGGAGGGGCCAAGATGGTGGCTTCCCTTTACACCAACCTGAAAAGGATACCACTCGAAGATAGAAACCCCCGTCACCGATTCAAATCATTCACCAGGCGCCCTCTATTTTTCCAAAAGGACACCTATGTCTATAAAGAACAATTTGTCAGGGCAACCAACCAGGGATACGGGAGGATTCCACCAAAATACACCTTGACTCGGGAAATGGCGCCAAGGGAATCCCCCCAAATCCCCGCTCCCTTTGTATCCCCGCTTGTTCCTTTGTCCAACTTTCTACCGGCGATTCCTTTTCGACTTCGCCATGTCCTGCTGCTTTCCGCGGCACCGCTGCGTGCCCCACATCTTGCCCGGGCACCCGGGGGACGCACGCCGCGGCATTGGCTGCGCCTACTTATCCAATGACTTCCTGCAGGAGGCGGGCCAGTGGGTTTGAGGGAAACCAAAGGACCCTCCCCCCCGCATGATGGACACTTGGGCTCTATTTTGCAAACCTTCCTCTTTTGGGGCATGGGTTTTTACGGGTTCCAGGCTGGAAAATAGTCTCTAAGTGTCCATGCTCCCCAGTCCAAACCGAGAACTTCTTTGGAAAACTGCGTTTGGACTCTGGGCAGGAGGCGAATTATCGGAGCCGATGCAATGGACGCGGATTCGGGCGGTTTCTCAAAATGGTGGGCCCATTTGTGGGTGGTTTTACGCGCGTGGCGGACCATCCTAGCCGTGCAGCCTGCATCAGAGCCGCGCACAGTTACTTGTCGTTTGGGCGGCTGTCAAAGGAACACAAGGATTTAGGGTTCGGATGGCCGAATCCGGCCAAACTACGTGTGGTTCAGGCCGGTCAAGTGGTGGCCTTTGGTTCTCAAAATGACCTGGGGTTATTTCCAGGGAGTTCTCAGCATTGCTTTTGCGGGGAAGCAACCCCTTTCAACCACCATTGGAAGCTAACTTAGAGCATGTCACATGAGGGAGCACATCAGAATGCGTTCCCTTTCAACCACCTTCTCGAGAATGTTTAAGCCAAATTTTACCATGACCTGGTAGGCGATTAAATGTCTAGCAAAATGCGTTAAAACACCGCGTTGTTCTGCATTTGCTCAGATCATGCTCGCTTGGATCGAAGATTGAACCTCCCCAAGCAACATATCCATTTGCCAGACAGTAAACCAACACACGGCTTATAAACTTCGAGGCCGGTTTGCTTTGGGGGGGAGGGAAGTCTTGGCAAGGTTGTTGGCGGGACTAAGTGACCAACTTCCCCGCACCCTCCTCCCCCTCCCCCCGGCCAAAGACTTCTCAGATTCCCCCTAGTCGCCAGGCGACTCATAACCCTGATCACCAGAGCTAAACAGACTCAAGTCAGGCAACTCTTAGTTGGTGGTTTGGATTGGGATTTGATCCCTGGCTTTTGTAGAGGGTAAGTGGGAGACCCTTTCTCAATCACCAAACCACCAATCCACCAACTAGACGGAAGCTGATCACGACCAACTAGTTTAGGAAACCACGCCGGGCCAAAAAATTCGAGGCCTGGCCCCTCCAAAAGCGGCAGGTGGAAGCGTCAGGGCATTCCAGGGACGACCCCGTGTACGCCGTCGAGCCGGACGTGATCCGAAAGAAGGGCGAGCGCCTTTGCGGCAGGTCACGTGGAGAAATGCGCCTGGCGGACAATTCCTGATTGGCTGAGTTCCTGGACTTTGTTTTGGGAACGGGCCACGAATTGGACCGTGGCCCATCTACAAGGGGCATTGGGCATTCTTAACATCCTATTCCCAGTTGCTCCATGGAAATCTGTTTCTTGAGTTAGGTGGGCTTGGGATTTGCTGATGGGATCAACCCCAAGAAAAGGATCCGTTTTTTTTTTTTTTGCCAGGGTCACTGGGCAGAAGTACCCTCCCACACTTGAAAGCTTACATGTGCCGAAAAGGCAAGTGGCCGAAACGGGTTGGACCGGCAGGGATAACCCAGGCCTCCGGAGCTGTTTGTTTTCCCCTTTGTGATGGAGGGGGTCCCTTTAACATCAACTATGAACAAGCTCCACTTGAAATGAGTTGTTTTCTTAAGAAACCCCTGCTGATTTTAAAGGGAAACAATTTTACAGCTGGATGTTTCTAGTTTTTGTCATGGTCCGAAAAAAACATGGATGACAAAGAGTTTGTGTTTTTCCTAACGGCCACTGGGGGTATGTATGGATTGAACACTGGCCTTTCCACAGAAACACTGTCCAAACAAGTCTACTATAAAACTAGCCCCCAGCCTTTTAAAGAGGGTCTGCGCAACGTGCGAACCACTGCAAAAGGGGACATGCGGTATGTGAGTTTTGCCCCTTTGGCAAGTGAAGTGGAATTTGAAACAACTTTCCGCAGGATCTAGGTGGCTCGGATCCACGAGAGACCCACCCAAGACCAAAATCCGGTAGCACGCGCCTTACTTATTTCAGGAAACTGCCGTACCATTCACAGGGTCTATCACAGGACCTTAGCACACATAGGGACGACTGTACACCCTCGCAGATTGAAATGGAACCCGGCAATCCGCCCTCTTCAGAGGCACCTGCTTTTTGGGGAGAAGTCATCCTGCGTCAGCCTTAAACAAACACAGGACTGGGCCGTTTTTGTTTGTTGCGAAAAGTTTAACCTTTCGTGGGGTTAAATGGACACCCAACTACTAAACCAACTAAAACAACACACATTTTCGGGACCGGATGGCTGCGAGCCATCAACCTCTTTGTGGATTCCCCACAAAGCCGCTTGAATTGGTCTGGCCGCAC